TTCCCCCCAAAATAATAATAATAACAAAAAAAAGCTGGAAAGTGAACTTTGAATTATCATTATTTTTTTAACAGGTCAGGAATGAATTTTCATGCTAAAATATGCTTTATTTTTAATCATATTGCATATCCCTACAGGCAGGAGACTGTAACCTGCTTGCAAATCATTAATTGATTTATTATTGAATTTAATCTTTTAAGATATAAAGGCTTTGGACCAGTCATTACTCAACAGTACATGAGTTTCATAGTATTTATGGTGAAATATTACAGTGTGTAAGCACTGGACACTACCTCCGCATAAATATCCCACAGTGGGTGAGCATGAGGAGCCACAACTGGAAACAATCAGACTGCGTCCCTTTGGTTATAAAGCTCAGGTATGGAACCATAATGGCTTTAAGGTTAAAGGGAAGAGGGACCTGTATAAGGCCCCAATCACAGAGACAGCATTTCCCCATCACATCCTTACACTATTCTTCTCCTGAAATCAATCTACTGTTTATTTATTTTTTCCACAGTAATCAGTATCTAGTTCCTGACATGTTGAGGCAGAGGGTACTGTCTGTAGCTCTGGTTGAGGGTGAGAGGCTGTCAGCAGATAAACAGAGATCTGCGTGGGTACATGAGACTCTAAAAAAGAGGGTGGATCATGGGGGGTACCACCAGTTGGTCCAGGAGCTTTTCCTCCATGATGGACGTTTCCAGGCTTATTTTAGGATGACTCGGGAGCAGTCTGACAACCTGCTGTCTATTGTCAGGCTGTATAGCTCTGGGTATCTGGCAACAACCACCACCAGATTCTCCTCCACTGTTCACCAAGTGTTCCAACCAACTCACCACCAATGCACCAACTCAAATCATCCCATTAGGCTATGGGGAAAAAAAGATGAAAGAAGAGATGATGTGGGGCGCTTTTCCACTCAGAGTTGAAGTTTTCAATTCGAGGAGTTCAAAATACTCTGGCAAAAATGGCAGGTGCCTAGAGCACAGACACGCGAGGTGCACTGCATTTAATGAGAAGCAAAAAACTTCTCATTAAAAACTCTAACGAAAAGCCGCCTCCAGCTGCTAAAAGCTTCCTCTGTGATTGGGGCCTAAGAGCCACATTGTATTCAAGCAGATTTGTTTAATTGTGGATCACAGTATGCTAAGACTGCATGCTGCTTTTAAAAGTAAATTAAAATAAAGTAAAATAAGTCTAAGAATAAGAAACGATAATCGTTTTATCATTGAATTGTTGCCCTCTGAATCATAATCAAATCAAATCCTGAGGTGCCTGGAGATTCCCACCCTTATTAAATACATGACATATTGAACTCTGTTTCAGGTCATGGGGCTCGTATATTTCTCGTCCATTTAAATTATTTGTCACTCATGGATATATCACTGTAATATGTTATAACATGATATCTTACATATGGTGGTGACAGATTGTCTTTTTCACAAAAAAAGGATCAACTTCGCACCCAGACGCATGCCTGCTGTCGACGCAGTGTGATGTGTGGGTGAGTGTGTCTGAAACATCTTGATCATGACTTCCTCTTTGTTGGTTTTCTCAGTGTGTCTCTTCAATGTCACACTGTCTGTATTCTGACCACTTTGCTGCTGATTAAATTATCATCCCCTCGGACTCTTCCTCTGGAGGCTGCAGAGCCTATGTTATACTTTGTATTCTACAGGTATGACAGTTTGTCTCAGATATAATCAAGGTAAACTGTATATATGTTCACACTTTCAGAAACCTCATACAGTGCTTATAAAATATTCACAGTGACATATATAACACAATGAAAGTATTTAGGCCAGCTCTTTACTGTAACAACACTACAGTCACATCATAAATATTTACTAAAATTTAAATTAATATTTTCTCTGTCTGGATCCGTGGTCACATTATTGATTTCAGTTACCTAGAAACAAGGGGTGCCTTGATGAAAAAGACACATTCTCCCCTTTGGATTAAGACGGCATGTCTGGGGAAACAATGAGATGATACGACTTCATCACATCTGTCAAGAAGTCGTGCTTAACAAAAAGTCGCTACCATGGCAACAGGTTAATGAAAAACACAGGGCATGTGCATGCTGTTGGATGTTTATCTTCTGTTAGTGGTCACTGAGGACCGTGTAGGAGTCAAATGAGGAGACTAGGAGACTTTCTACTGAACAACACCTGCTAACCATATCACTGCACAGAAAGAGGCGTGCATCTACTGCTAGCTCACCTAGCACCACTGAGCCACCTAAAGGAGGGCGCCATTAATGTTTACATCTTGCACTGTCACAAGCATGAGCCTCTTGTCCATGGGAAAATCCATTTATCAGGGTGATACAGTTGCCGGTGTAGTTCAGTAGACAGAAAGTAGTTGCTATGTGAAACTGCTCACAACAAGGTCTGTGGACATTTTGAGTTTTTAAAATGTATTTTTAGGGACTTTGAGCACCACAAGCCGAGTGACACGTAGCTCTATTACACTAGAGGGAAGGCAGACATCTCCACGGCTGACATTTCCAACACTCGGCAACTCACACTGAAACAACCTGGACTGATTTGATTTCAGGGTGAACTGTCCTTTTAAAGGTGGAGTGCCCCTGAGCTAATGAAATGAAACAGTGGCAACCTCCAGGGCTGAAAAATGGAGCCAAAATATGCAGTTTCCCTAATGGCCACTTGAGGCATGCTCCAGAGGCGAGCCCCATGTTAAAATGCCCAACTTTACATCAGTAATAAACACGTTTACAGCCTGGTACAAAAAAATGTTTTTTGGTCTCTATAGCTAATTTCTCCCTTCAGCCATAACTGGCAGCGTGTTGTTCGGCCAACAATCTGCTGCTGAACACCACAAAAACCAAGGAGGTCATCATAGACTGCAGAGGGATCAGAGCTGACCACGCCCCTCTCGACATTAACTGTGGCCTTCACATCTCAGGAAGACTCTGCGGAGGGTCACAGCCCAGAGGATTATTGGCTGCCCTCTGCCCTCATTAGAGGAGATCCTCAGCTTCAGAAGGTCCAGAAGGTTCCACCCAGCACATCATCTGTTTGACCTGATGCCCTCAGGCAGGCGCTACAGGTCATTGAGAGCTTGCAGCTGCAAACTAAGGAACAGTTTCTTTACCTGGGCTGTGAGAACACTAAACAAACAATAATCGTGCACAATATCTACACTGTGCAATATTTTAACCACTGTCTTTTATTGTTATATCTATTTTTATCATTTGCTATTATAGCGATTACACAGCTGTGTTTATGCCATGTTGAGCTGGTTGTCTTGTTTTATCTATTTTTTACAGAACTAATGGAATGGCACCCTTAATCTCATTATATCTAATGACAAGAATGACAATATCTATCTATCATGACAACTGTACAGAGGGTGAATTTTTTTATATAACTCACCCATTAATTAGTCAGATCAACCCCTTGCTCCTCTGCAGCACCAGCCTGTCTCCAAAAAACCATGATGGCAACGGCCAAATTGCTGAACTCAAGGCTTCAAAACAGGAGTCCACAAACCAATGGGTGACGTCACAGTAGCTACGTCGATTGTTTTTACAGGCTATGGGCTACATGTACCCTCCCTAGCAGAACAACCTCTCCAGTGGGCCCCAGGCAATGTGAGTTTGAGGCCCCTTCTCTATAATCACATAAACAGTGAAGTGTGGTTCACTGATACACTTGTAATCCCTCTTGTCCCTGAACAGCAGGGCTGTTGAGGACATTGAAATATGGCTCATGAGACACTCTAAAAATAACCATACCCAATACTGTGAAAAAACAAACAAACACTGATTACTGACTGTGACATGCAAACGTGTGATCAAAATCAGCCACAAAGTAATCTCCGTTACACAGCTTTAACAAACAGCATTTAAAGATCTTTATTCCTGTCTCTGCCTCGTACAGCCATTTAGCTCATCTTAGGAAGCACTTAAGATTTTCAGACATCACCCTTGTTTCTGTTAGCTGTTCTTCAGTTCAGAGGCTTAGCTGCTGTCTAAGGATTTTTTTCTTTACAAGGATTTAATCTTGTAATTTAATTCTAAGAATTGTCTCTGGATTCCCCTCACAGCAGCTGCGTGTGTGTACACTACACACACGTAGCTGTTTTATATGTTATTCTTCCAGGCAAAGTCTATTAATCCCTGTTCACCGGCCCCCCCAGCGTTAGATGCAGAGCAACAACCGTGAAGTTGGAGGATTCGGTGTCTTGCTTGGGGACATTCAAACAGGATGAATCCTTGCTGTCTCAGCTGGTTGACTTTGTCAAACACCTGCTGCTCGTGCTGAAGGACAGCCTCACTTTTTACTACACCATCTCCCTGCCTCCATGTCTGAGGCACTTCAATTTCAACACACACACAAAATTGTATTTGTGGTTGTGTCAGGCAGATTCCACTCTGCAGATGGTGTTCAGATCTGCTAAATCTCATTTTAAATGTTGAATGGTGAACGATTTGCATATACGCCGGAGCTGGGGGTTGCCTAGTGACATGACTCTAAACATAGTCTACCAGTTGTTCAGTGTGTCATTGTGCCAATCTCTGATATTTCTGCTGCCTTCCCAGCTCACGTGAGTGTGTTTGGTGTCCCTGTGTGTGAGTGGTGTTGTTGTGATTCAGGAATTGCGGTCAATGTTTAAGATGTGTTCAAGGTTGGGAAAAGAGAAAGGGGGACGTGATAACAAACAGCAGCTGAGTGCTTGTGTTTCTGGACATGTGCTCGATAAACAAACCCTGAAATTCAATAAAGACCAACATGTTCACTGTCAGACTGCTGAAGGCCCTTTTGCTTAAAGGTCCTCCATGTCAGTTAACATAGAGATCACAGGGACAAACAAAGCCCCGGGAAAATGTTCACACTTAACTTTTGAGGCCGTGGAAGGACAATAATTTCTCTGCATTACAGCCAAGTGTCACACTAGCAAGTTGAATATGTGTGTTTGGGAGCTCCAAACCCCTACAATGACTAAGAAGGAAAAACAAAACAAGAACTTACACATGTCCCGTCTCGTGAGCCACAACGAAGGCTGAGGAGAAGCCGTCTTCATGGTTGAGGGTGCAGCTCCGGACTGGGTGACACATTCCTGTGACTGGCGCGTAACCTGGAGGACATCAAGTGAAAGGATGAAGGTTATCGTAAGAAATTATTAAATTTGAAAAGTCACATCAACTTTACTTCTTTTTCAAATGGAAAAAAAAGTTTTTTTCTTTATCATTATGAAGTGAAAGTCGATTGTTAATTCCCTATAAGCCTTGCATTGACTATATGATTCTGTCTGCCACTGGGTACGATCTCCCAGGAAAATGAAGACTCACTTTACAGCACAAAGACAGTGCATCAACTATTGAGCAGCCAAAACAGGAAGAGGATAGAGCTTTTATTTTTCTCAGTAGCTATCAGCAGCTACCCCCAGTTACCAAAGAGCATCAATGTAAGTTCTCTGCAGTTCCTTTCCCCACTAGGGGAAATAGCAGATGGTGAAACAACCAAAGTAACTGTGGCAAACAAAATGTAGTTTGTCCTGCGTTGTTGGTAATAGCTCAGGTCTGAGGAAAACTGAAGTGATCTGGTTGTCTTTGCGACAGCGGCGCAAACACTAATACCACTTGGATATGCTGAAGAAAACAGTCCAAAGGCTGACATGATAAAATACTCCTTATGTTTGTGCTCTTCCACACTTATCCTTTGATCAGGCTTGATATATGTCTTCAGACCAGCTGATTAAATAACACCTCATTTCTGTTACAGTCTGTCCATTTATCCCAGCGTTGCATGTGTCCGTGCTTGAGTCCTCAGGTGAAAGGTTAGATTTTCCATGGAATATAGTTCCTCTACAACTACAACGTCCACCCTGTCCTGGAAATGGAGGGTCATGTTTCAGCCAGTTCCTAGTAACGGCTTTTTTGCATGCCAGTATAAGGACTTGGAACAGATAGATCTTATGAATAATGTCCTCAGGTATTAATCCCCAAAACACAATCCGTGGGTGCCTTGGGATCTTGTAAAACTAAAACTCTCAACAATGAGAATAATCCCGTCTCAGAATATTTGTAGTTTTATACATGACCAGAATATATGTGGGTGACTGGCATTCGCCTGCCCACAGAGTCTCCAGCACTGCTGACTGTTGTTTGATTGTTTGTATTTTGCATATGGTGTGATAAAAAAAAATCAAATTATATTCTTCCAGCCAAGGTCTCTCCATCTTTCAGAGCTGGTGGAGGTTTGTTCCGTGCTGCAGATGGAGTGTCACCCATCTCCCGACACCCCACACTTATGTCTGGCGGTATCTAAAGCACCTATGCAGATTCTGTTTCTATCTCTGAAAGTTCTGAGGTTTCTGCTGTTGCCCAGATACTAAATATGCAAACAGTGCAGTGATCAAAGCACTGAAAATCACATTTAAGAAGTTGACATTTAAGACAATGTCCTGGTTACTTTGAATATTCAACAGACCTTCATATCAGCAGTTTTCAGTGAAAACACTCCCTACCAAAGAAAAAGTCCCCAATGTCTGTAGATTATTCAGCATAACTGGGGCACTGTTTCCAGATAGAGGTGTTACTGCTATGTTTTTCCATATATAATTTTCCCCACTGCTTCGAGCTCTACAAAAGAGCTTTCATTCACCTCTGTTGAAATTTCACAGACAGGTATCTCCAAACGTGGGGAAATAAAACTGACAATACCTGCATGGTTAAATAGCACTAAGCTATCCTTTAAGTAGGACAGATCTGTGCGTGTACTCTGTGTGCGTTTCACATAATCCAATCACAGCAGGAGGGGGAGTATTGGATGTTTTCCAGCTTCATGATTTTTATGATTTTAAACTCATATTTTTCACTGTCCTACTATTTCCTGCTGTACTTTATTTGTTGTATCAGTCGCCACATTGTTGACAGGTGTAACAGACAGTCTGGAAGCTACATACGACGACAAATGACGCCATAATTTCCAATTCATAACTGTTATCACACCAAAAGCTATATACCTGTGGAACAATATACCTATTTTTAAGTCATTAATATTCAAAACAGTTCCAACTCTACCTCAAATATAAAAACTGGAGCTGAAATTAGATAAAAAACATACTGACCCAAGAAAATAAAACCAACAGGAGGCTAAACTGACACTGAAGTGAAACAAAAAGTCTTACTACTAAATGAAGACTGAAAGAGAATGGAAGTTGAATGAGTATTGGAACGGAAATAAAACCCTCAAATGACATGCTGTGTGGCATCCAGGAGGGGAAACATTCTCGGTGCAACCTCAGACGAATTTAATTGACTTTTCATGCCTTATGCTTTCCCAAGGGCGCTATTTACTCAGGGAATTGGTGGGTGCACTTTGCAAATTTAGTTTTGTTCCCCTTGCATTTACAGACTGGGTCAATCTCTTTTGGTCCAGCTGCCACAGTCTAGAAGAGAACATTCTGTGAGTGTATAAATGTCCACATTCGTTTATCTAATGGCCCATTTTATCATTGAATTACCTACCTGGGATCATTTCAGTGCCTGCAGACTGCCTCTCAGGCTCCTTCACTGTGAATGGCATCCCAAAACACAGTCCTAATATTAACATCAATCATTAAAATGCAGCTATACGGGCACAGAGAAGCTGAAGATGAGGAGAGAATGAGAAAAATGAGATTATCCATCCATCCATCCATCCATCCATCCATCCTTCTATCTGTCTATCCATCATCTATCCATCTATATATCCTTCTGTCTATCATCCATCCACCTTTTCATCCATCTATCCATCCATGATTTATCTATATATCCACCCATCCACCCATCTACCTACCTACCTACCCGTCTATCCATCCATCCACAATTTATCTATTTGTTTGTTTATCCATCCATCCATCCATCCATCCATCATCTATATCTACCCATCCATGATTTATCTCTCTATCTGTTTATCCATCCATCCATCCATCCATCCACCCACAATTTATCTATCTATGTTTGTTTATCATCCATCCATCCATCCATCCATCCATCAATATATCCTTCCATCCATCCTTCTGTCTCTCCATCCACCCATCCTTCTGTCTATCCATCATCCAAAATGTATCTATCTATGCTTATCCATCCATCCATCCATCCTTCTATCTGTCTATCCATCCATCTATATACCCTTCTGTCTATCATCCATCCATCCATCCATCTTGATGTGTAATACTTATATCACAAATAAACTGTTGTTGCCAGATATATACAAAAACAATATGATCTATGATCATTTCTGGGAGAAATTCAGATAAACACAATTTAAAATATACAGGTAAAGCATGAGACATGGATTTCACTTACAGTTAGTGGAAGGTATAGAATGCTGGTCAATGTATTGTAATGTGGTGAATTGATATGACGCACGCTGGCTTTACAGTAAATGATGTCACTCATGTATCATTATGTTTTAAATAAAAGTACTATCATGTATAAGAAATAGATATCAGAGTAAAGGTTTGAAGTAACCAAATTTTATTTTTTCCTAAATAAAAAAAATTGCCATTAAAAGAAAAAAATAAATTCATGATATAAAGACAAGAGGCATATGTCTAATTTAACTATGCTATAAGTTAGTGGGACGCCCATCGCTTCCATTTATTCCAAATTGCGGAAAAGGTTGGACTAGATTTAGAAATGCTCAATGTTGTTGATGTTATGGCTGCTGAATCTGACCCCAGAGTGACCCAGAATCTGAGGGTGAACTGATTTCATGAATGTATTAACAGATTTCTGTAAAGTGAAGCTTCTGCTTGCTGTCAGCAGCGTGCATAGCAAAATATAATACTAGTCAATTTGACCTTTTATTTCTTTACTAAAATGCTTCTCAGCAATCACAGTTCACTTTTCTTGTCGTGATTTTTCTACCTTTTTACTGACCCTTGACTCTTAAATCATGAAGCCAAATATTAATTTAACTGCCAGTCATCTACAGGTCACTGTGAAGTAAACGTGAATTGACCTCTGGAACCCTTTGAACCCAAAATAACTTGCACTTTAAAGCTCCGTACCATTATACTTGTAAATGTGCTTTAAAAAGGAAAATCATCTTTTCAGGTTTATGAAAGCTTTCTCCACCTGACAGAATGACCTGCCTCATTTCTAAGCACATTTCTCCGTCCATTTAAATAGATATTTTCCATTTTAAAGAAAGAGATGCCTCACTTTAAAGCACCTAGTCCTCTTAACAGGAGCTCATACTGAGACAGCAGCAGCAACAAGGGTTTTCAGATCTGCCGTCCTTTCGGTTAACATATATCAAAGTACTAAAAACAGGTTGCTTTAAGCTGGACAAAAAACCTAAATTGCTGTTTTTATTAGAGAGGACTGTCTCCATTGTGTGATAAGAAAGAAGGGAAGGGTGTCTGATGGTAATGTGAGAGCAGATTGACTGAAGGTTTAGGAAATGCAGGATTACAACCTTGACAAAAGAGCCACTGTAATGCAGCTGGAAGAGGTTTTGTTTGCTTCTCTTGTGCTTGATGGATTAGATTTGCTGATTATGGGAGGCAGGACTGGTCCATCTTCACCATCAACAGTTTCTACCAACCTCTTATTGTCTTATTGTTGGGGTGAAATCTGGTCAATTGCTTTGTTTATTTCAGCCTGTGAAAATGATCCGATTTCAAAACATGTCACACTCAAACAGAAAAGCTTTAAGACATCTTGTTTACAAAATACAACAGTGACTCAAGGGAGAACTGCAGGGATGTAATTGTAAGATTCTTTTTTTATTTACCCCAGAGAGTACTGAATTAATTCTGCCTTGGACGAGTGGAGTCCTACAGGAAGCCAATCATGTCTTTATGTCCTTGTTGACTGAGGTTGCTCAATGTGGGAATTGTCATATCTGATTGATTTTCATCCAGGCAGCAGCTACTGGCGTGTTCCAATAGATTTTAGCTTGAAACCAATAAAATGCAGTAGGTAGAGTAAATACCATTAAAAATTCCTCTGTATACAGTCATAAGCCTGCAGCACAAATGGCCTGACAGTAAGCCGGCCAGTAAATAGAAAAAAATCCATTCAGCGATTCATTTTCTGCTGTACTGGGAAATATGAGAAGAGGCAATACAAGTTTGTTTTT